ACCAGAAGATCACATCGGGACCCAAGCCCTTTTTCTACAGTGCCCACGCGCCGCCACTAGCGCTGGCAGCGCGTGGGTGTCCAAAGCGATAACTCATCACCGGAAAAACCCAAAATCACGGCTTAAGACTCCTGCCCTCGGTGTAACACTCTATTTGAAGTCACTTTTGTTCTTGGGCACACCCAAAAAACTGACCGAAAGCGGCAGAAATGTCATCCTGAAATCTGGCCGAAATCCAATTCGAAAATCAGACATCCTAGGCTAAGAATTGATGCAATCCTACCCAACCATCAACTAAATTATGAAGAAAGGATGAATTTTCATACCTTGATCGCCAAAAATGGTGGTTGGCAGCGGGGCCTGGCTGGGGTTGGAAGAGGACGGCGGCCCGGTTATTTTGGTACCGGCCCCGTCAACTTTGGTGGCTGGATGAGCGAACGGCCGGCCAAAACGTGGCCGGCTGTGATGGTCGTCGCGAGAGAGGAGAGAGAGAGATACTATGCGGGGAGAGAGAGAAAGAGAGAGAGAGAGAGAAAAAAAAAACCAGATTTTTATCAAACCCTTTTTGCCAAAATTACGGTTATGCCACTGAGGGTATTTTGATTGTATCTCTCTTGTTACAACTCCGATTCGAGCCCACGACGTGTTTACGGACTCATCTCGTCGCACTCTACGCAACGGTAAAGTCAGAATTCCTAAATTCCTTCCCGGTCAAAAAGTCAACTTTAAACCTAATAAAATATTTTAGGGGCAACAATGGTCTTTTATCTGAATAAATTAATATTTACCTATTTATTTAGGACCGGGTTATTACAGGGTATTTTGTAGACCCTTAGTGGGGTAGGTTGTGTGCATAGGACTTGTCATAGGCGCACAAATATTGAGGATTCTGCTATGCGTGCTAGGAGCCTAGTCCCCTGTTAGATGGCTCGTTACATTGTTGTTAAAGATTCCTCCATGTGGTCTAGTCAAACGATCTTTAAATTGGATTGTTTTCCCCTGGTACATGATGGTGTGAGGTGTGTGTGTATATATATATATATGGATTCGTTTTCGAGTTGAGATTCTTGAACTTGTGCTTTGTGAGTACTCTGCACAGGTATAAATGTTTAATTTATGGATTGGAAAGTGTTGTTCATTAACACACGCCTTGGATAGGGTATGGTTGCGGGGATGAACTGACATAATGGAAGGAATTTATAAAGTGTTCAGTGTGTGCCTTGTCGGATTTGAAGTTGTAAATGAATCTAAAATAATTAATATTTGGTTTTACATTAAATAATCGCATATTATCTGAAATCGTGATTGTCAATATAAGAACTATGTGTGGCTTGATCCCGTACCAAGGGGTTCGTAGGTAGCCTGGGGTTTCACATAGGTGCAGCAGTGACTGAAACTATTGCTTTTGTTGAGTTTGGTTTGAAAATGTCGGGGAGCCTGAAGCCTAGTTGAGGTGAGATTAAATGCTTGGTTATATTTCAGTTTTACTAAATAGTTGTGGTTAAAATGTGTTTATGGTCATGACAAGTTTGAAACCTGTTTGGATGGATGATTGATCATGGTCAGAGTCTTTAGAACTGCTTGTGATTGTACACAAATGGTTTGATTGCATGCTTTGGTATCTTTTTCCACTATTTTTTGTTGTGCGCCCTTAACTTCTGTAGGGCATTTCTATTTGTTTAATTTCCATTGAATTTCATTTCGGTTGCAAACTAGAGTCTTCCTTATAATTGCTCTGTTATCACCCATTTATGGTTGGATTTAAGGCCAGAGGCCTATTCTGTGAATGGTGTGTTTTTACATTGTGCATGCTAATGTTTGGGAATCTTAAATTGTGTTTTCACATGTTGAAAAATTTGGAAAATGTCTGTTTCTTAGGGGACACTCTGCCGAAATTTGGGCAGAATGTCTCGAACTACTTCTCCTTTGATTTAGAGAAGAGGTTTTGGTTAGTAAGTGGGCCCAGCATCAGATTGATGTCGGAAATATTACAAGATTCATCGTGGATTCTGAGGAATTCAGGGTGGATCCTATCACCACATCAGTTAGTACTAAAATATGAATAAACTAGTTGGTGCCCGTAGCGTTATTGATAGGTGGCAATCCTGCATTAGAGAGTAGGAAAGGTTTATTATGGAAATGGGGAAATAGGAAATTTCACTTACCTGGAAGTTTTTGAAATTCTGACTTTGCTACACGACTTTTTTTTCGTCTCAGTCTCATGCCTAAACTTTGATTTTACTACCCCTTTCATAACTTCGTTAGTTTAACTATCAAGTTTTCTGTTAAACGATGACGTGACATTTATAGCTCCACATTAACCCATTCAATTTGCGCCCCGTGGATCATAAACAATTAAAAAAAATTATGATTTTATAAATAATTAAAATTAATAAAGTTAAAATTTGAAAATCAAATGTATATAAAAAAAATTAAAATAAGTTACCAAAAAAAAAAAAAAAAAAACACAAGAACATTCAAACGAACTTACCTTTCAACTCCACCACCATCCACCCACCCACGTTGACCCACTGAATCTTCAAAACTCCAACACAACAACGCAACAGCAGTACATAATAATAAAATCATCTTTTATTTTTGTTTGCTCCTTTTTCAAGCAGTGGTTTTGCACAAACAAAAACTCTTTGGCTTTTTTGGTTTTTGCAGCACCTGGTATTTGTTTCTCTAGTAAAAAAATTTGGGAACATTCCGGGAAAGTTTGGCCTTAACCCAACATCAGAATCTTACACAAGAGAAGAACCCACGTGTGGTGGCTGGGATGAGGGTGGGCTTGGGAGGTACTGTGGGTGGGTGGATGGTGGTTGAGGTAAGGTTGGGTTTGAGAGAGAGGGTGCTATGGTGCGTTTGGGTTTGGTCGTGGGGAAGAAGATGGTTGGGTCTGACATGGGATTTGGGAGAAATTTTTTTATTTAAAAAAAGAGATATATTAGATTATTTTGTCTTTCATTTTTTATATTTTAATTAGATTTACTTTTATTTATATTTATTTTATTAGTCCAAGTGGTACAAGATGTGTGTGAGTGCATTTGGAGCTATGAATGCCACATCATCGTTTAATGGAAAACTTGACAATCAAACTAACGGATGTATGAAAGTGGTAGTAAAATCAAAGTTTAGGCATGAGATTGAGATGAAAAAAACTTCGTGTAGCAAAGTCTGAATTTTACGAAACTTCCAGGTAGTAAAGTGAAATTTACCCAAAAAAATATATAAATTTTCGTGTGCAACATGACAAATTAGGAGCTGTCAATAAATATCACAGATGCAACATACTTGATGTATTGGAAGAGAAGAGGATCTTCTTGACTGAGGCATGAACTACTTACACTGAACAAAAAATTTAGAGAAATAAGCTTTTAGGTAGTTGTTGAGGCTCAAAAAAATCCATGGATTGGGCCCCAGTAATTATCAGCCCAATACGGCACTCCAGTAGGAAAAAGCGTAAAAGGAGGTATATGAAGACTCGCCACGTGTGAGTTATAATTCGCGTGCCATGCTAAATAAATTCGCCATGCTAGAGGTGGAGATAAAATATGCCAGCTCTACAAGCCCATGCAAAAAATTAAACATCGCAGTCCTGCCCAAGGATGATAAACTAAAATATGCCAAGCATGAAAGTGTTATCTCACACCCAACTACACTACAAGCCTAAGTGGGCCCAAGCCACTCAAATGCCCGGGGCTTACTTGAGTGGGTTGTAGTATGGATGGTAATAAATCAACATGAGGCCTATTGATGGGCCGAGAAATGGAAGGTCTCGGGTTGCTTGGGAGCCTCGAGACTCAGGCCCATTTCTTAGGCCCAATTATGTGGGTAAGCACAAGAAAGAAAAGTAGCCTAAAAGCCCAAGCAAAATAGCCTATTAAAGCAACCTAAAAGCCCAATGTTTAACAAAAAAAATAGCCCACTTGCTTAAGGGACCCCCTTGGCCCATACAAAATTACAAGATAATCCATAAAAGCCTTAGCCCTTTACTGAAAAAATGGAAGCCATGTGAAAAGGGTCAGCAAGTTTATTGAATAGAGCTGCTGGGAGGTTCCAGCACAAAGAGGGAGCAAGTTTCAAAGCTAAAACATGCAAGGAACCAAGGGGTATTAGCGTGAAACACTCTTCAAACCAGCATACATATCCCAGCTCCTTTTCCCATCAGACTTAGCCATAGAAAAAAGGGAAGAAAGCAATAAAAAGGATGGCTGGAAATGAAAATTTACCATTGAGACAGCTGCGGGAAAAAGGGGCCTTGAGCTTCAAAAACTCTGATATGATAAACAGAGAGGATTTCGTCAAAATGGGAAAAAGCCAAGGAAAGGGATGAAAAAGGAGGGAAAGGCTTGGCCAAAATGGGTATAAGCCATTAGGGTTTTTTGAAAAATGGTGGTTTGCAGCGGCTATAAATTAAGGCTTCTCCTACCCAACAACTCCGACCTAGCTTTAGGGAGCAAGCTTTCTCTCCAACTTACAAAAACCAGCAAGTCTCGTGCACTGTTCATCTTCTTCACCATTCTTCTCTTCTGGCAGACAGAGCATCTGTCAAGTTACCGGAAGAACTCTGTTCTCCATTTTAGCCAAATCTCTCAAGAAACTCCTCCTTCCTCTCCCTAACACTTTCTTTTCTCTCAAAGCAAGCCTAAATTTTCTCTCAGTGCTAAACTCATGTTAATTTTTCTTTCCATGTCACATGCCATTCACGCTGAGCTTAAGAGTTTAGCTGTAAGCACAAAGAAACTACCTGTAAGCTATTATTATTTTGGTTGATGAAGGTAACCATAATACTTCCTAAGGATCTACTGCCCTTTCAAAATATTTTTGGGGCTTAATTTTCGAACTCAGACAAAGGGGACAATTTCGTCAGTCTACTCTTTATGGCAGCCCCGCCCATCTTAGCTGCCAGAAGAAAAAGTCCCCTATAGTAGTCATTACCGGTTTTGCAAAGGACAAGTTCTATAAAAGGATTCTTATTTATTTTATTTATTTTTTAAAGAACCTCGACATGAGTGCTGCTAACCGAACCTTAAAATTAACTGAGTACACCCTGTAATTTAAGTACACTACAAGGAGCACTCTACTACTAAGTACACTACATGAGTCAGATCTCTACAATTTATAATTTATATGAGAGCTGCTATAATATTTATATTTTGCTATCATTTAGCAGCACTCTACAATTTATTCAACGAGAAAAAAGAGAGGAACATCTGGCCAAGGGAAATGAGCCCAATCCCTCTTTGCAAGCCAAACCCTAATCCCAATTGAGTCAGATCTTGTGGGTTTATTATCTTAAAGAGCAAAGGATATGCTGAATTAAGGAAATCCAAGATCCTCGGTTGGAACTGGGAGTCTTGAATATCATGAATAGCCTTCAATCAGAACGTTCTTTCTTGCAGGATTTGAAGGCCCACATACCTGCTCAAAACACAAAAATTTAAAGGATTAATTAAAAAGAGCAATGGGACACGGAGTTTGTGAGAGCAAATATTTCGGCAATCAATCATGAGATGCCACGTGGACAACAAGGATTAGGTCAATAATTGTGCTCTATTTAATGGGCCAATTATTTAGACCAAAAATAGACATATCATCATCAATTAGGGATTTGATCCTGATTAAAATCCATAATTGACTCAATCTCTCCATTTAAGGTCTCTTCCTCACACGGCCACGCGCCACCACACATGGCCATGGCCGCTCGGCTCTCCCCACGAGAGAAAACTTCATCCTTTATGTTACTTGTCATATCTTTCTCAAGATCCAATTAACTAAGGCATTGGATGGCCTTTGGCCTACACCCCCAGGTATGGTCTATTTACTCCTAGGGATCGAGGAAGAGGAAAGAGTAGGAAGTTGGAGGGTCAAGGATCTACATGCGAATATTCCCCGAGCAGAATTTTGCCCAAACATTGTACGTTACAAAGAAAACCATATTCAACGAAATAATTATTGAGAATCTCTAGTGGTTGGAAGTGTGCATCACATACCTGCCTAACATCAGATAGAAGCCCTGAGGATGGCTGTTTGGTTCGTAAGGGAAAGTGGAGGCATCAACAACGCGTAATGCTTTGATCCCCATAACACGGAAACTATCATCAAGCACTTTCCCAACAAGGCTTCCACCGTGGTAATGCCAGTATGAAGCTACATTATCTAGACAAAATGTTTCGAAGGATGCATCATCTGTTTGGTTCTCTGGTAGAGGTACTCCCAAATAATTGAAACCGTCAATTCCCAGCACATCTCGAGCTTTATATGGTTCTAATGCCTTTGTCCTTAATAAGTCACCAAGCTTCTTCATGCCGCTAACGCAATTAGCAAGGTCCGTGGAATTTGAAAAGTAATTGAATTTAATATTCGGAGCGATTCTCACGTCAGATGATGAATTTAGGGTGAGAGAACCATAAGACAAAGGTCCTGGAACTTGGCTAACAATATGAGCGAAAGTCGAATTTGGGAGGGGGTAAGATGTAGGAAAAAGACTAAAGGGTGGAGTGGAAAATGGCAAGCTTGACAGAGAAACTTGATAATAATCACTTCTAATGCCTAAAACAGTTACAACAGAGGCTTCAATTGGATTTGGGGGCAAAATATTAAAGAAATTACGAGGATTGTCATACACAAACTGCCCAACGTAAGGATTCGGCTGAACAACCGTGATGTTGAGAGAGGATAGGTAAGACTCTGGTCCAACGCCACTAAGTAGTAGAACCTGAGGCGTTCCGATTGTCCCTGCACTAACAATAACTTCTCCGTTACCGCGTACAAATGCCTGATGAGAGTTTCCATCAGAATCCGTATATATGACTCCAATGGCTGACAAATCTGCATTAGAGAATAGCTTATAATTATTGTCAAACTAAACGAAGGAGAATTGGGAAGTTTTATTTATGGAAATTTGGGAAATATGAGACTTCACACTATTCTGTTAGTATTTTAGAATAATAAAATAATAATTTTCGAGTGCAGCATGACAAACTAGGAGCTACCATTAAATATCAGAGATGCAACATACTTGATGTATTGGAAGAGAAGAGGATCTTCTCTACTGAGGCCTGAACTGCAACTAGCAAGTTGTTAGGGTCTCCTTTATTAAGCAGTTCATCAGCTGCATGTCGGGTTCCATTATTGTCAAAAGTTGAGCCGGTGAGTCTAGTTCCTGCTTCGTGATCCAAACTAAATCCATTGTCTGGAAGAATACCAGCCTCCAAGAATCCCTCTCCTATAACAGATTGCCAAGATTGATTATTTGGCTTGACCACAATGGCGTCTTCAACCCACTCATATGTCTTATTGACCAAATCCAGGTCCCATTCAATTCCTGTTTGACTATAGAATGAAATGTTAGCTCTGGCGTAGACGCCGGCATTGATTATGGTCGTGCCACCGAGGATCCTGCCTCGCACATTATCAATGCCATCTTCGGACACGAACCTTTCGACTGGCGTCTTTCCATCATCTTGTTGCTGCAGATTATATGCAAACCCATCTGCAGTCAACGTCTTCGGGTATTCTGTAGCAATAGTGCCTCTTTCTAGAAGAAGCACCTTGTATTTTTCTGATAAAGTTGCTGCCAATGGACACCCTGATGTTCCTCCACCGACTACAATGTAGTCATATGATCCTTCCAAGCTTGTATCAGTAGCGTTGTACACAAACTTCAAGTAGCTAAAATCTGCAAAATATATGTGAAGAGATGAAAGATTTTTTTCAACATGCTTCTAAATTAGCTTATTTCTTGCACTACATGTTTCAGTTTTCTTAATTAGAAATCTGCACTTTTTTGTTAAATGAATACTGAAGATGGAAATTTACCATGAGAAGAAGTATTGGCAAGCGAGTGAACCTCTGAATACTGAAGATGAAGAGCAAGAAGATGCAACACAAATTGTATAACTGACATTGTTGATTTCTCCATGTCTTTGAACATTAAAAGCACTTGCAAAGTTTCAGAATTTATAGAGAGGGTTGGACTTAGAAAAAATGAATTAAATGAAAAGTTGCAATTAATTGTCACGTTTTCCACAATCATATGATTAATTAGCAGAAGTCGCTTGTATGAATCAGAAGCACACAGCTGTGAGGACAAAATTTTCCCAACGGATTTTCTTCAATGATTTCGAAATGGCACTCCAAAATTATGTAATCTCTCTCGTGGACGTCATTCAACTGTGCCCACACTTGTCTCTCTTGTCAAGGACATATACAAATAAGTGGCTGAAATCATTTCCTTCTCCCCTCTAATTTAGACCATCACTTCTACTAATTTTTTTTTTTTAATATTTCAATATCAATTTACCAACTTGATAATTTGCAATGGGAGAGTAACCCAACACCTTATAAGCACTTGCAAGGCTTTCTAATTTTTCAATGTGTGACATTTTCTCCATGTCTTTATTGAAAGCACTTGCACACTTTCAGAATGAATCATCAGGACACAGCTGTGAGGACAGAATTTTAAGAACGGATCGAACTTCCATTCTTCAATGATTTCGAAAAGTTATGTAATCTCTCGTCTCATTTCTCTCTCTTGTCATAGCTGTGTATTACAAGGAACAGTGTTAGTGTAGTGTATACAAAATAAGTGGCTGAAATCATTCCCCGACAGAATGATAACGGGGCTTCTTAAAAGCCACATATCTCATCTAACTTTGATCTAAAAAATCAACAGATATTATCTACATATACAAGTTGGAAGACTTTTGCGCATGCCATAACTAATATAGGTGCAATAGCAGTGCTAGCATGCTTCCATCTGCAAAGCATTAACTTTCAATCAGAAGCTTAGCGTCAGATAATGAGAAGAGAGAAATTAGTACAAATTCTCAGAGAAAATATTGCCAATTATAGTATCCTAAAGTAAATACAATTCCACTCTCATATTCTGCGGTTCTCTTATATTTAATTTATTTTTTACAACATTAAAAAATAAAATAAGAAGTTGGTTATGAAATAAGACATTAGGACAAATAATTTTATTTTTAAATTCATAAAAATTAAAATTAAAAAACTAAGAGGAGAGACAATTAATTTGTTCCAACTAATTTATTTAAAATGAAATAAAAGCGTACATTTAGCCAGGGGGGTAGAATGAGCTTAACACCACCCTAATCCCAATGGTTTATTAATTAATTTTAAGAAGCAAAGGATAATGTTGAATTAAGGAAATTCAAGATCTTCGGTTGGAACTTGGAATCTTGAATTATGAATAGCCTCCCTTCAAACTCATCTTCCTGGCACAATTTGAAGGCTCAAATACCCGCCCAAAACACAAAAATTTAGAAGACTAATTAAAAAAGAACAATATGGCACAGAGTTCATTACAAGAAAGCCATTCAACAAATAATTATTGAGAATTTTTAGTGGTTGCAAGTACGTATCACAAACCTGCCTAACATCAGATAGAAGCCCTGAGGATGGCTTGCTGATGTGGTAGAGAACGGGGAGGCATCAACAACGCGTAATGCTTTGATCCCTTTAACACGGAAACTACCATCAAGCACCTTCCCGACAAGGCTTCCACCGTGGTTGTGGGAACCGAATTAAATCATACCCTAGGTCAAATAATTCCTTCCATTTGGGGATTATTTGACCTAATTGGGAATTACTCAACCTAATTGGGAGTTACTCAATTTAATTGGG